GCATCAAATTAAAAAGCTTCTTCATAGCAAAGGAAACAATTAGGAATGTGAAGAGAGAACCCATAGAATGGAAGAAAATCTTTGCTAGCTACTCTTCTGACAGATTAATATCTAAAGAATATAGAGAGCTCAAAAAACTTTACACCAAAAATACCAAACAACCTAATTAATAAATGGGCAAATGAACTAAAGAGACATTTCTCAAAAGAAAAAAATACAAATGGTCAACAAATACAAGAAAAAATATTCAACATCATTAGCAATTATGGAAATGCAAATCAAAACAGCACTAAGATTTCATCTCACATTAGTCAGAATGGCAGTCACCAAAAATACAAATAATAGTCAAGTGCAGTGGCCCACGCCTGTAATCCCAGAGGCTCGGGAGGCTGAGGCAGGAGGATCATGAGATCAAAGCCAGCCTCAGCAACTCAGTGAGACCCTGTCTCTAAGCAAAATACAAAAAATAGGGCTGGGAATGTGGCTCAGTGGCCCAGCTCCCGGTACTCCCCCCCCCCCAAAAGAATACAAATAAGAATAAATGCTAGAGAAAATGTGGACAAAAAGGAACACTTTTACACTGTTGGTGGGACTGTAAATTAGTATAATCACTATGGAAATCCATATGGAGTCTCCTCAAAAGCCTGGGCATGGAACCGTATGACCCCACTCCTTATTATTTATCCTAAAGAATTAAAGTCATCATACTACAGTGATACATGCACATCCATGTTTAGAGCAGCACAATTCACAATATACAAACCATGGAAGCAGTGTAGGTTTCCATCAATGGGTCAGTGGAGAAAGAAAATGTGGTACATATACAGAATGGAGTTTTATCAAGCCATGAAGAAAAATGAAATTATGGCATTTGCAGAAAAACAGATGGAACTAGAGACGATCATGTTAAGAAAAACAAACCAAACTCTAAGGTTAAGGGTCCTGTGTTTTCTGTCATATGCAGAAGCTAGGGAGGAAAAAGGAAAACAAAGGTGGGGGCAGATCTCATGAAAATCAAAGGGAGATCAGTAGAGGAAAGGGACCAAAGTGTGGGAGGTGGGGAGGGATGGGGCAAGTGCTGTGGAGGGCTATTGGCCAAATTTTATTGTTATATTGTGTGCATGTATGAATATGCAACAAATCCCATCAGTATGTACAACTGTAATGCACCCATTAAAAAAATGTCGGGGAGGGAGGGGCTGGGGTTGTGGCTCAGTGGTAGAGCGCTTGCCCCTCACATATGAGGCCCTGAGTTTGATCCTCAGCACCCCATAAAAATAAACAAAATAAATAAAGATTGTGTCCATCTTAAAAAAAATCTTTTTTAAAAAATGTAGAGTAAAAAAGTGAGTTCAGCAAAGGACACACACACACATTTTTTAACTTAAGTAAAAATCATTCTTAGCTCGTAGGCAGTGGGCTAATCTGGCCGTTTTATTTTCATCGTAGCACAAATCATTTCCCACCATTTTCTTATTTATTTGCCTTTTTCGTTGCTTGTTTGTCGTCAGTGTCTCCTACTAGGAAGGAAGCGCCGCACCTGTCCTGGTGCATCCCCAGCACCCAGGAAGGTGCCTGGCACAGAGGGTGGGCTCAGTAAAGGCTGTGCCGTGACTGCTGTGCCACAGCAGCCACCCCTCAGCCTCTAATGACGGCAGGCAGCACCTGAGAGAACAAGTCCTTGGGGGCCATGGCACCTCCAACCTTGTCCCCCTCCCATTCCTTCCTCTTGTCTCTCGCAACTTTTCCCCATCTTTGCTATCCACAGTCCAGGTGGGAAGCCTGTCTCTGAGGCTCAAGGACCCCCGACAAACCTGGAGGCTGAGAACTCGCAGGCTAAGGCTGGGCGGTCCCTATCAGTGCTCAAGGTGAGGGGCTGTCAGGTGGCTGGTCCAGCTCACAGACAGGGAGGAAGGCCCCCAGACTGACGGGTAGGCCCCCACATCCAGCAAGGCCTCCTGCCTCACCACTCAAAAGGAAGAGCCGGTGGGAAGAAGTTGGTCCAGGTAAAACAGGGCTTCTGAGTCATCCCTCTCTGAACTGAAACCAGTCACATTCAGCACAATAGCTGGTATACATGTAGTGCTCAACGGTGTTGAGGGCATGACTGCAGCCACATATTGTGGTGACAAAAAAGGGCTCACTGCTAACTGGTATCCAGAAAAAGTCATTCCTTGATCCTCGGATGGGAGAATTCCAGTTTCCAAGGGGGACATGGAGGCACCCAGCTAAAGTCACCCATCTCATCCATCCATCCATCCACAATGCACAAACCACCATAGGCATGCGATCCAGTTTCCCATGGAGGATGGCTTCCCTATGGATGAAGGAATGTGCAGTCTAGCAGACACGAGTCTCCTGTGTTCTGGGAGTAGTGATATTGCACACGAATTAGAGAAGTGGCACTTGGGCTTATTAGTCATGTCCTGATGGGGGTCAGCAAGCCCATCCTGTGGCTGCTGGTAAGTAAGCCCGCTCACGCCTGCCCCAAGCACTAAACTCACATCACGAAGATGTTATGCAAGGGGCCACATCCTGCCAGCCTGCATCCTCTGCCTGACCCCTTCTTTTGACTACTTTTCAAATCCAGTAGGTTTTGTGTCCAGCAAAGCTATGCTTCTTACAGTGTAGTGTGCACAGACCCTGGCCATAGGACAACCTGCTGGAGGCTCAGCTGCTAGACAGGGTCTGAGAATATTGACTTCAACTTCATCCCACAGTGTGACGTCATCCAGAGTGGCTACTCTGAGAAGGCCTTGGTCTGGGTCTGTGGGCAGCTCACTCTGCTCTGAGCTCCTACTTCCACTGAAAAAGTTTTTCAAATTTTTATTTTATTTTTTTCATTGACAGCGCACTTCATTGTTATTATTGCTCAGATTTTTCAAATTAGGTATATATGACAGCAGAATGCATTTTGACTCGTTGTATACAATTACAGCACAACTTTTCATTTCTCTGGTTGTACACATGTAGCGTCATACAGGTACCTAGGGTAATGATGTCCATCTCATTCCACCATCTTTCTTGCCCCCATGAAGGTTGATTTTTATTCAACCATTTAAAAACATTAAAAAAGTCCTTAGCTCCTGTATAATATAAATAAATTCTCATTTGCTTCCTTACCCATCTTGTTGCTAGTTTATTGTGCCCCCTACCAGAATGGAAGTCACGTGAGAGCAAAGAGTATTGCATGCTGCCTTGGTGTATCCCCAGCAACTAAGATGAGTGCCTGGCATACAGCATGCGATCTATAAATGCTAGTTACGTGTAGGTCTGCCATTACTGTTTTTGCACTCTGGACAGATGTGGAACTTGATTATTCCCAAAGAAAGACATCACTTGCACAAAGGCCTTGGGATGTAGCAGACTTTACTGAAGATTTGGAGAGTCGAAGGGGGTTTACATAGCAAAAATACAAAAACCTTTAGGTTGAATATCAGACACCCACAAGCTCAGTCATTTCCACCAATTGGGCTTCAGCCTTCTAGGAAGTCCTTGGCCACCTCTCCCCATCCTTCCTCGGCACGTAAAACAGAAGTCACATCCTAGTTTCTTGTGTATTCAGTCCTCCATTTGCAGAGTCCTTTCCTTTAGACCTTTCTCAGGGGCTTTTCTCCCCCTAATTGGCCAAAATTATCTTTCCAGTTAAGAATACTTCCCTCCTCATTGCTGAGACCAGGGTGAGCACAAAAGACTAACAGTGCGACCCACAGCTGGACAGTTCTAGCTGAGCCAAGGAGCGTGGGGCCCTCTGGTCTTCTTTGAGTAGCACAGTAGAGCCTTTTCCCCTCTAAAAAGTGTGTGTTTGCGGAGGCGCAGTCAGGGGATTTTTTTTTTTCCAGTGCTGGGGATGGAACCCAGTGCTCCATAGCATGCTGGCAAGTGCTCTACCACTGAGCTCTGCCCAGCCCAGGGGATGTTTTTACCTAAGTTGAGACATTTTCAGAATGGTCACCTGAATTAGATGCAGTGCTCTCTCTCTCACACACACACACATGGTCATCTGTCCTCTGTCCTGCCTCTCTTTCCACGTGGATGCTGGCCAGGGGCACGATCGGCCCCTGTCCACCTCAGCCCTCAGCTTGTCACTCCCTGGCTGGCATTCCAGGCTCAGTGGCTTCCTCTGGACACCTGGGGCACACCTGTCCCTTTCATGACTGGAGACCCACGTTTCCTCAGCTTGGAATGCCGTTCCCTAGCCCTCTGGGGGCTGGCTCCCTGTTCTTCAGGAACCAGCCACAGTGGCCCCTGGCCTGCCTGCCTGCCCTTCCCTTGCTTACTCCTTCTTCCACAAAGGTAGCTCCAACGGGACCCTGCCTGTCTTGCTCACTGACACATCCTCAATGCCTAGCACAAAGCAGAAGTTAAATAAATATTTGCAAAATTAGTGAATAAAATGTATCAACAGTATAAGAAAGTTACTAGGCTCCATGCTTCACTTTCTTCCTGGTGCTGTGATTGCAGAAAACCTGCGGTTCCAGCTATATGAAGGCTGAGGCAGGAGGATTGCTTAAGCCCCAGCCTGAGCAACAGTGAGTTCCCCATCTCAAAATTAAAAAATGGGGTTAGCATAGTACCTGTCCTATGAAGACTGTGGAAGTTCCCTTAAAAGTTCCCCTATTTAAGGACCAGGTAGATAATGGGTGCTCCCACGGGGTGAGTGGAATGCTTTGACACAAGGGCAGGAGTGACTAAGGCTTTTGCAGAAGAGGTGACTCCTCATTGGTCGTTTTGGCATTGGGATGATTTTTTGGGGGGACGGGGAGTACTAGGGATTGAACTCAGGGGCGTTTGACCACTGAGCCACATCCCCAGCCCTATTTTGTATTTTATTTAGAGACAGGGTCTCATTGAGTTGCTTGGCACCTCACATTTGCTGAGGCTGGCTTTAAACTTGTAATTTTCCTGCCTCAGCCTCCCAAGCCACTGGAATGACCACATGTACCCAGGGGCTATCATTGAGCTACAACCTTAGTTGCCCCATCCTCCTTTTTTTAAAATGTTGAGACAGGGTCTCACTAAGTTGTGGAGACTGGCCTCAAACTTGCTACCCTCCTGCCTAAGCCTCTTGAGTTGGTGGTTACAAAAAGTGCACCACCGTGTCCGGCCTCATTCATTTTGGTAAAATGAATCACGGGTGGCTAGTGGGAAAGGAGGGGAAGAGCACTACTGGCCATGGCCGTCTGTGGGGGGCAGCGTGCTCTGCAGAGTCAGTAAGTCAGGGAGGGTGCCTGGAGCTATTAGAGGCTGCAGGATTGGTAGAGCAGATCCTGTTTGCCATTGGCCCCAAGGGTCATAGTCACCCGGGAAAAGAGAGGCAGCTATACCTGCCACCTCCTATGGTGAGCCATTTGGAATGTCCACCTATCAGAAGGCAACTCTCCGTTGGGCAGCTGAGTTCAGTTCATAAAGGGAAAGGGAAACTTACAACCAACACATGGGCTAGGAGGCAGCCACTAGGTGGCAGCAGAGTGTTAGCCCCGCCCTCCTTTCCTCCTTGACACAGGGGTTTGTCTTTAATTTGTCCACAGCCAAGCAGCTTGCCACACAACACCAGCCTTGGTCTGAAGCTGCATGGCGTTGCAGCTGTCAGTCAAACTAGGAGGGGGAGCATCTTGGGCCTCCACATCCAAGCAGCCTGGGTCAGGGAGGAGAGGTCAAGAGCTGTGGTGGTGACTAGGAGAGGGGTCAGGAGAGCCTTCTGCAAATACCCACCCGCACTGGGACATAGGTGCACACACCATCTGCCCAGGGATGCAGTCCTTAGCTGCCCATCCTCCTCCTTTTTTTAAAATTTTGAGACAGGGTCTCACTAAGTTGTGGAGGCTGGTCTGCCTGGGATCCTGATACCAGAGGGGTTTAAACTGCTTTTTGATGAAAAGATAGAGGGGTAGAGGGAAATCAAGTGGCTTGCTTCTCTGGGATGACGTCCAGCTTCCTCCCATTTGCTTATCTAAATAATGCTGGGGATGTAGCTCAGTGGTAGAGTGCTTGTCTAGCATGCCCAAAGTCCTGGTTTGATCCCTAGCACTGCAGAAAAATAGTTATAAAAATAAAATAAATACTGCCCATCCTTCAAGGGCCAGCTCTCCTCAAGCACCACTTCTTTAAATCTTCCACACCCTGATCTCTGTTATCTCTGATCACCAGTTGCTTCAGGGATCAGCCCACTGCAGATGGCTTCCCAGTCTGACTCTTCAGACCACAGGCTCCTACAGGTAACAGCAATGCATATTTATTGAACACATGGATATGCTCAGACTATGGTAGGCACTTATATATACGAGGTAGGTTATTATTATTACACCCATTTGACAGATGGGGAAACTGAGGCATAGGGAAATTAATGAACTTGCACCAAGGTCAAAGTCAGCAGCTAGTCTGACTCCAGAGCCCTTGCTCTGAAACACCACACCACAACATCTCCTTGATTCTGCTGTTATCATTTTTGTATTCCCATAGAATTCTCCCTGAGCACTGGGCATACAGTAAACATGACTGTTCAGCTGCAGGCTACTAGAACTGTGGTTCCTATTAGGGAAGATAATACCACAGAGCCACTAGGTGGCAGCAAAGAGCCAGGCCCAGGCTCTCCCTAGGGCCGGCAGAGAAAGAGCTAATTACAATTAAGCATTTTGGTGCAGCTTGTACTAGGCACTTTACAGACATCCCCTCTCCTCCTCTCAAAGGGCTTTGTAGATAAGTGCTGTTGCTTTCCCACTTCGCAAGGAGGAAAGGAGATTGGGGCTCAGATGGGTTGAGAAATTTGCTAATGTCAGGCAGCAGGAAAGCTAGGACTAAGCCAGGTCTGCCTACACCCAAAGTCCCTGCCAGTTCGGAGATGAGCCAGGGAACCCCACAGTGGGGTACCTCTAGGCTGAATGGGTTCCACTACCCTCCACCCCAGCCCCAAGGGGCACAGAAACTCCCGGGGAGGAAGGCTGGTTCCAAGGAGGTTACCATATAAGATGCCCCCCAAATGGGAGTTTGAGGCAGGACTTACAGACCATCAGAACTGGAAGGATCACAGAGACCACAGGGCTGCGATGGTTACTGGACCAACTCTGGCCCTTCACCACCATGCATATGGAGGCTTCTGATGTCAATCATCCAAATGCCTCCACCCGGCTTCAGCCTGGCCACCCCCCCCCTCTGCCCCTGCCTTCATTTGGATGTTGAAATCTAGATGGCCTGACCATGTCATCTTCCAACAACTATTATCACCTCCACACCTAAACTCCAAGCTCTGGTAGACGGGGCCTGGTGCTAGCTGTCAGCGGCAGTGGCAGGACACCCAGGTGCAGTCATGTACAAGAAGCTGAGGGTGCATGGCCCAGGGCCCATGGACCCTTGGGCCTCTCGTTGGGGCCAGCAGCAACAGGAGAAACAGACGAGGGGCTCGAGCAGCATCAGGACTTGAGCTTCGGCACCTGGAGATGCTCCAGGCTGGGGCCACTGTGGGCCCTGTGTCCAGTCTGCCTCCCAGACAGCCCCTCTCCCCCAGTCCCTCCCAGGGCTCATTCAGCTACACCAGCTCCTCTGAAAATACACATCTTGGGTTTATTTGGGGATGGGCATTGCAGGATCAGGCACTGTTTCTTTCTGCCAGGAAGAATCATGACCACTCTGCTCAGCTCACTTAGCACTTCAGGGGGATGTCCCTGCAGGTCCCCTCCCCATGTCCCCATTTCCTGCACACACGTCTACCCCCCTCCCTGCTCCCTGAGTCTCTCATTCTTTCACCAGCCGGTAGATGTGGTGTTGAGCCCCATGCTCGCTGGCCGACACCTCAAACACATATGCGATGCACAGCAGGGTCTCCTGTGTGTCTCTGTTGGTGACTACCTGTAGGAGAGACAGAGGAGACACGGTTAAGGCCCCACATGGGGGTGCCATGTGTGCCATCCGCCTACGGACCACAGTCCCAGGCCTGCGGCCCCCGCCCGCACACCTGCAGGATGGTGAAGTTCTCCAGCACGCTGTTCATCATGTACTTCTCGGGCAGATGCTTCAGCTTGTGGATGAAGTTGATCATGTATTCGCAGAGTGGGGACCGGTGGATGCGGTATGAGTAGTGGCCATTCTCATAACGAGCATACTCTGTCTGCAGGACCCAGAGGACAGTAGGGGCTTAAATTCCCTTCACCTGCCTCCCAGGCCCCATTCACAGGAAAGCTCCCACAACCAGGCACTTTCAGCAGGAAGAAAAGGCAGGCGGCCTAGAGGCCTGCGAGCAGGGCCAACCTCTGAAGTTCAGTGACATTAAACCAAGTCTCCCTTCCTCATTAGCGACAAGCAGATGCTGCTACGAGTGAGGGGAGCTTAGAGACCCAGGAGTGGCAGCAACAGATGAGATGGAATAGGTGCTTCTCAATTCTGGCTGCACACTAGGGGACTATGGGGCAGAGAGTACCCAGGGACCCTTGTGGGGCTAAAAACCTATGACAGCGTGGATGTGAGGTGTCACAAAAGCTAATGTGTGAGACAATGCTAGAAGGCTTGGAGAGGGGAATGGGATAAGTGGAGGAACTCTGGATGGGCCAGAGGGGAGGGAAGGGAAAGGAGGGGGCATGGGTATAGGAAAGATGGTGGAATGAGACGCACACCATTACCCTAGGTACATGTATGATGGCACAAATGGTGCGACTCTACTTTGTGTATAACCAGAAGTGAAAAATTATACTCCATTTATGTACAATTAATCGAAGAGCATTCTGCTGTCAGGTACAACTGATTACAATGAATGAATGAATGAATGAATAAATAAATAAATAAATAAATAAGGGGGGGGGAGGCTGAGAGGAGAAATGATTGGGTCGCAGTCTTAACCTAATGAGTAAATTAATCCCTGATGGGATTAACTGGGTGGTGGAGGCAGGTGGCATGTGGCTAGAGGAGGTGGTTCACTGGGGCCGTGAGTATGGGGTATATATTTTGTATCTGGCGAGTGGAGTCTTTCTGCCTTCTGATCATCATGTGAACTGCTTCCCTCCACCACACTCTTCCCCCGAGATGTTCTGCCTCACCTTAAGCCCCAAGGAGTGGAGCTGGCTGCCTAAGGATTGAGACCTCTGAAACCTCGAACCCTTAAATAAACTTTTTCTGCTCTATAATTGTCCTTGTCAGGTCTTTTTAGTCACAGCAGTGAAAAAGCTGACTAGAACAAAGCCCCGTGTACCTGGACTCTGGCAGTAATCATGGGAATCTACACACATGGTGCACACACAACTCTAGAAATCAGAACCAGGTTGGTGGGTTAGATTGACATCAACTTCCTGATTATCAGTGAAGTTGCCCAGTTCTGTGGGAAGCTTCCAGTGGAGGAGTAGGGGGGGAGGTATGTGGGATGGATTGCAGGCCTGTCCAAAATTTTTAAATTAAATAATTTGGGCCTGGCAGTGTAGCTCAGTGGGAAAGCATTGGCCTAGTATGTGCAAAGCCCTGGATTCAATCCCCAGCACTGCAAAAATGAATAATAAATAAAATTGCCATCACCTGGTCCCCACTCCATAGATGAGGGTACACAAAATGAGTGGGGGTAGGAGCTTTTGACGCATTTCAAAGGCCCCCAGGTGATTCTAAGGTACAGCCAAGGTTGGGAAACTCCAGGACAGAATCTCTCTTGCCTGCTGCTGTCATCTGGTTGTTTGGCATGATATAGCTTATCAGTAACTGATGGTCTGTGACAGTAGGACTTCATTACCTCAGACCATTAATTTCAGAGGAAAGAGGGGAGGATGGCATCTAGCCTGACATTGCAGCAACCTCACAAGCCTGTGGCACTGCACAGGACTCAGGGACACAGGTGTTCTGGAATGGAGGCATTTCATCCCATCTCCTGGGCCACTGTGGCAGAGAGACACCTTGTCACTTATTTAGAGATAAATGAAGGGTTTTATCATCCCCCCTCCCAAACGTCCATCAGAAAGCAGGGGGGCTGATATTTAAACCCGGGTCCTCGGAATTTGTGGCCCCATTACCCTGCACCCCTGTACTGGCAGACCCCACTGCCCTAAAGGAACACCCACTAGTGTGGGTCTCCAGGGTACTCAGAAATTGAGGAACAGAGACATGAATGGTTTTTAGCATTTGCAGAGTAAACAGTGAGCAGGGAAGCAGGACCCGGGGATGCCTGTAAGGATGTGCTTGGAAGAGGAGTCCCAGGGTGGGAGGGTTAGTGGTGGCACGCAGAGCTGTGCAGGCAACAGGGAGCTTGCTGATGGTCCACAACTAGAGGGCGCTCTTCCCCGACACACACAGAAGCCATGTGGAGCCCACCTTCCACAGGGAGGCTCTGAACAATCCTGTCCTCTGGAGAGCCCCAGGGAAGGAGGCCACTAGGCCCTCATGCCCCCCCCACACCCACCCACCAGGGTGGCCTCCTACCTCAACTTTCTCCACCACCTGCTTGCCGAATGAGCAGACCTTGGTAGAACAGGTGATGATCATGTTCTCGGGACTCTCATACTGGCTGGAGACTCCATAGAAGGAACTGCCCTCGTCCTCGATGTTGGTGTTGAGGTCTGCCTGCAGGGAGACATGGGAAGCCAAGAACGCGGTCAGCAGCATCAGCAGAGCCCTATCAGATGAATAGGCTCTGAGCCCCTCAAGGTCACAGTGCCACCTCTTGGGTTGGGAAGAAATCAGGAGGGCTTAAAAAGAATGTGTTGGACCGGCGGTGGCACATGACTGTTATCCCAATGGCTTAGGAGGCTGAGGCAGGAGGATTGCAAGTTCAAGGCCAGCCTCAGCAACGCCCTGTATCAAAATATAATGGGTTAGCTGAGTGGTTAAGTACCCCTGGGTTCCATTCCTGGTACAAAAAAAAAAAAAAAAAGAATGTGGACAGAGTTAGAGAGAAGCTCAGTGGCAGAGTGCTTGCCTAGCATGCATGATGCCATGGGTTCCACTCCAACACACACAAAACATGGACTATAGATGTTGGAAAGCTTCCAGCATTCTCTACCCCCAGGCCTGCTGTAAACTATGGAAAAAGAGAACGCTGGGGCCTACATTTGCTTTAAGCTACCGCCACCTGCTCAGATACTATGACATCTAGTCAGTAGGTTCCCCAATTTTGTTTCTAGAATCTTTGAGTTTTACAGTCTGATTTTGTTCTTAACAAACTGCAGACATACAAATCCTTATCATTTTTATTTTAGTATGAATTAATTTATTAGATTCTTTCGAGAGTCAATGTTAACAATGAAGAATGCATGAGAACAGAAAGCCAAAACAGGGGACTGATAGAGAGGGACAAGGGACATCTCCAGGTCTCCTCCTCTGGCCAGCTGGTCACCAGATCCTACTGATGCTCTTTCCGAAATGGCTCTGGGGCTGGCCTCTCGTCCATCTCTATGGCATTCTGAGTACAGTCACCTGTGATCTTTGCCCATTTCTCTCTCTCAGCCTCCAAACCCACCTCCCCAATACCAGTCTTCCCCGCCTTCTGGTTCATTCTCTTAACTGCTGAGATTTGCCTTCAGAAACGAAGTCTGAAACCTGGGGTGGCACCTATAGATCCAGCTACTTGGAGGCTGAGGCAGGAGGATCACTTGACCCCGGGAGCTCAAGTTCAGCCTGGGCAGCTGGCTCCAGGGGTCTCCATGAGCCCTGTTGCTGGTCCTTTCCACCCACTCCTCACAGGCCCCAGGACACCCTGCTCTTCTTTCCTGTCCAGCTGGATATGGAGCTGATCTGAAGTTTATCTGCAATGCCTCCCTCTTAGTAAAGATGGACTAAGTGGTAAAGGGGACGGGTAAGGTGGACTGTCAATAGCACATACACACCTCAGCCTCAGTTTAGCATGAGGCTCCCTAACAGTAGTAGGTCTCGCTCAAGGTCACATGGCTCAGGCTGAGGTCAGCAGGCTCCATCTGCAATGCCTGTCTCAACCCAACAAAGGGAGGCAGGCACTGTATAAGCCAAATCGCTGCCTTGGAGACTGATGCTGGAATTGTATTTCTGAAACTCTAGGCCATTTAGGGGTGCCCATATCCAGAACTCAGGTCCCCACATTAGATTACCTTGCTTGTCAGGACTCAGAAGAGATGCACAGACATCACGAAAGGCTGCTTCTTAGGGTGAGGCCGCTCCACCCACCCACACAACTGTCTGAAATCAAAAACTGCAGTGATGAAACAGAGCACAGCCCTACACATGTATTGGGAGTGCAGATCATGGTCCAGGTTATAACCCTCAGGATTCTTCTGACTCCAGATAAGGTGATTCCCAGAACCGCAGGAAGATCTGAGAATCAGGTCCAGGCAGTTCTACTATTGGTCACTAGGGGGCACACAAATACCATTTCTCTCCTTTTGGAGTTCTCCAAGAGCAAGACCTTCTGTAGACCAAAGGGTGTTAATTGCCTTATGGCATAATAGAAATATTATGGAGCCACAAAAAGTGCTAGGAAGTACCTGTGTTTATTATTGTGGATGAACACAAACACAGTGAGTGAGGAAAGCAGGCTATGGAATAGAATGAGGGTGTATTCTTTTTAGGATGTTTTAATGTTGAAATAGAATGGTATATGGTCCAGTGAGTTCCGCGCTGGTGTTAATGAGGCCGTTAGGAGGAAAGCAAAAGAATTACAGCAGCATTCAAGCCAATGCTCAGACTCTGAAACAAACAACCGTGTTTATTCAATACCCCCCACCCTTGGGTTGGCCTCAGTTTCCCCTCTCTGCCTCTGTTGTGTCCACTATGAGTCCAAGAGAGAAGGCAGTCCTGGCAGAAGTGGATCAGGCCTCCGCTGGGCCAGAATTGCAGCCATGGTCCAAGATATTCTTGTGAAATAACAGGTAAAATGGAGTAAGAACCTGGGTTTTCCTCTGTCCCAGTTTCCCTGTCATGTGTTCCTTCTAGAAGGCCGAGTTTGCCAGACTGATCCTAAGAGGGGGTGAGGGACCGTTTGTGTGCTCAGGACATGCTGCAACTAGAAGCCCATGGCAGAAATGTGGATTATGCCTGAAAAAATGCCAACAGGAGGCCCAGCTGCCTGGGAAGGGCCAACACCAAATATGGGGTGAGACCAGGGCATTGAAGAGTGACCATTCTCAGGCAGTAGCCACTGGTGGCCTGCTCTGATCAACGCTACATTCATGTATCATCTGCCACATATCCCACTATGCCCTTCACAGTGCCTTTTAAATCAACTCACTTTTATTCCTTGATTTCTTTTTAAGCAATCGATCCATGAAAGTAAAGATTCTACTTTTCCCATGTAAGTGTCAATAATCACAGGACTATTAAAGAAGAAACGTCCATGCATGTGCTACCTAGAACGCTGTGCACCGTGTTAAGAACTGGCTGACATCCACCCTCTTCCCCATACACAGAAACTGTTATCCTATCCCAGGACCCCAGTGTCTATTTGTACACTCCATTTCATTGCTCTAGGCTGTCATGACCTATCTAGATGGAAAGTTCCCTGGGGAGCAAGAACTAAGCTCTCTCCAAGCCCTTGGAAAGTGCTGGTACAGGTGGGCCTTCAATAAATGTTCCATGAGGCAGACTGAGGTGACACATGCCTGTAATCCCTGCTACTCGGGTGGCTGAGGAAGGATTGCCGCACTGGAGGCCAGCCTGGGCAACTTAGAATCTGTCTCAAAATAAAAAATTCAAAGAGGGCTGAGAATATAGTTCAGTGGTAGAGCACTTGCCTAGTGCTCTGGGTTCCATCCCCAATACCCCCAACTCCTCCCTTCATAAAGTTGCCTGCTGCTGATCCACCTCTCACCTCCGGGTGGCGCTGCATGAGATTCTAATCATTCAGTTACCCATTTATCCAGTCCCAGCCCAGCACTGCTAGGGACAGTGAGGGCAGAAAAAGTTGAGGCAGTAATTCTGCTCTCAAGCAATTTGTACCTAACTGGGAGAGCACAGAGAACTGGTGAGCTGGTGGTCAGGTGGGAAGAAGCGGGGAGAGAGGAAGACACAGCCAGGTCTCCACAGTGGAAGTCAGCCCCAGAACCGGCCTGGGGTTGCACTGCACAGACCCAGGAGGCAAGGGCCAGGGACAGAGACGACCCAGCTCACAGCACTGCATCTTGTCCTCAGTGCACAGACCCTCCCAGTTTCAACCACCCCTCTTCCTGCAGCTGTAGTATAGGCATTTCCCCTCCACCCTTAGACCCCCACTCTAGACACCTCTCCCAAACAAGTTTTCTTTTCAATTTTCTCAGCCTAAGAAAAGAAGAAAGTCTCACCACCCTGCCCTCTGAATGCCCCTTTCTCCTCTCCTTCTACCCTATTCATAGCTGTGCGTGTGGGTGGGAAGTTCACAGGCTGTGCCTGGAACAGGTGTGGAGGATCGGGTGACGGACAGATGAGCCAAGACAGCCGCAGCCGGGTGTGGGGGCCTGGAGGGGCTCAGATTCATTGTCATGTGCTGGTATGTGCCTGGGAGAAATGTCAGGGCCCAGAGGGGAGTGGGCTGGGATGGGAGGAAGGCCTGGGGCACCCTCCTGCCACTGTGGCTCAGCTCAGGCCCTGTCCAGCATTTCACCATGTGGCCTGGTGTTCATGAACCCCACTGGACAAGAATCTCCTCTCCCTGTCCCAAGGACAGTGGCCTCTGCTGGTCTCACAGGCTACTCAGTCCCCCACTCCAGGCCTGCAGTACTCAGATAGTGCTCGGCCTCTGCACCTCCACTTCCACCTCTCCTGCAAGCAGATGCCATTTCCAGCAGGGGCCTTCTCCTGGCAGGCCACGATCTGTGGATCATTGTCTCCCAAAGAACCGTGACTCTCAGGGAAGGGAGAAAGGAACTTTGATTGGGACATCAAGGTGCCCCCAACCCCACCCCATGAGGGTGCTGATCACAGCCCCTGGACGCCTGGAGAGAAGGAAGCAAGCAGAAAAAGAAAAGCCAGCTTTGGGAGAGTTGGCACTGTTCCCTGCCTGAGTGGCTTCCTTCCTCCTTGCAGGGCCAGCGCACACAGCTGATGGCAGGAGAGGGAGAGAGCGGGCCAGGGAGCTGGGGAGCCGCCTAGGTCTCCTAGGTCTCCCCATTAGCAAGCAAGCACGTTCCCCGTTCCCTGCTTGTCATGCCTCTACCCTCCCTCCCCACGAGAACTGACAGATGGACAGATGATTGCCAAGGTGCCCTGGCCTCTGACATGCCCTCGCTTCTGATTTCACTGTCCTCACAGTGCCCAAGCTACTGGCACCAAGCAAGAGCCTGGCTCCTAGGGCTCAGGGGAGGGGTGGGAGAGGAAGGGGGGAGGGGTGGAGGAGGGGGAGGGGTGGGAGAGGAAGGGGGGAGGGGTGGGAGGAGGAGGGGGCAGGGCCTCCCCTTTGTCGCCACAGCCCCTTTCAGCTGGGGACAGGAAACTGCTGACTTTTCAGCCCTCTGCACTCTCCAGATAGTGGATACAACCCAAGACCCCAAGATCCATTGTAGATTCTCCCTAAAGAACCAAGCACCTGGAAGACAAGCCCCCACTCCCACCCCTGCCTGAGAGCAGGGCAGAGAGCCAAGCACAGAGCCGCCTGTCATCTGACCCAACTTCCTTGGTACCAG